TTATGTTCGCCGATCGCTTGCCATGCAATTTGTCCTGACAAGTTCCAGCGCCAGGCGATGGTGAGCACGGTTATGTTGCTGATACCTTACCTGTTCGCGCTCGGCCTATAAATGGCCTTGTATAGCATTACTATGTCGCCAATTTGAATAAATGGCTAACGGACATTCTTAATTCAAACCGCTTAAATTGATGCTCCACTGTGCCTGGAAATAGCCAAGTCCTGGTCTTTATTAGCGCCATTTGCGAAGACAGTTGGTCTTTACCAATCAGCAAATAGAGATAATGACGAACGGAAACGTACCCTCATATGTTACTCCGGAAACGTATCATGACATTAGGCGGCAAGCTTCACTTGCACAAAGTACAAACTGATGCCGCAGAGCACACCCTTGGCTGCTTCTCGGCCAGCATGTGGAATAGGCTGCATGTGGAACTGGAGAGGCCGGCATATGCATCGCTTTTGTTTTGATTTTTGTTTTCCTTTGTTTTACTCATGTACCGGCTCGCTTTGTAAGCGGTCTGATCGACAATGCATTGCATCTAACACAATCTACTTTGACTGCCGTGTTTTATGGTGTGTGCTTTGGCGTGCATGTTTAAAATGGCTTAACTTACAAGAGTCAGAAATGCTGTCTGATGGAAGGGCCAGTAACTTTGTTCTACCAACAGAGTGCCTTGCGCGGTGTATGGCAAACGGGACGATCTCAGACGGGAACTTGTCAGTTCTGATGTAGACAGCGTACAAAAAGTTGCTGAGTGTAGTGAGTTAGTCAAGCTTTGGTAATTGTCGACAGCCATCTACTTCAAGGCTATCGAAACGTCTACCTTAATGAAATTTGGCAAGCAGGCTGTTCACTGAAACAGAATTTGTGTTATGCGCACCGCTTATATTTCTGTTTACGCGCATACTGCCTGTAGTCACAACCCTGCAACAGATCTTTCTCAGAGAGGGACGGGTGAAGGCATTTGAAGAATGTCACTTGCGACGAGCAGAAAAATAGCCAAAACCGGTTGGCGGGCGGAGTATCAGAGGACTACAGCTTCACTTTATAGTCCACGCGTAATTTACTTTAGGTATGGTGCCATAGATGTAGTCAGGCTCGGTAGATTCCATCGAAAAAAATCAAGGATTTCGCAGTTATTTGCAGCTCTTGCAATTTCAGAGTGATCCAGAAAGTGGGTAAATTATCGCAAAAATAGCATATGTTCACATTGTTACCAATAAGAAGCGCTACGGTCTGAGCGGTTCCATGGGCCAGCAACAGGCTCAAGTCACAGTTTATTATATTTGAGATCGGTTTCGGGAAAGCTGACATTGGCCACTTCTCTGTCGATCACTGGCCACACAAAACCATCAAACCTATGAGCTTGATGGTTTTGAGAACATTCAACAAGTTGAATTCTGTGCATTTTCCACACCGTGCAGTTTCTCACGTCTTCATCCGCTCTGGTTCCTGAGATCTGATATGCGAACTTAAAAGCCCTCCACAACAGGGGAACCAAAAGTTAGGGCACTAGGCAGCGTAACCATCTGTACACATCGCATCACGCTTTCGCCTATGCGGTTGTCCTCTTTCTCCTCCGTAAAGATATTTGTGTCGTCTCGCTGCGACGCTCGGTTGCCGAGGCCTTGACCCAGTTTTAAACCCTGTGCTTCAGGCTCTGTCTCAAGTTGAAAGCTTTGCGTTTTTCATAATGATCGATAAGGAATGTGACATCGTAGCGATATGAGAGATTTGCATGAACACTCGTGTCATCCGACCGATTTCATGCAAATTTACTAAAAATTAACACGGTATAGTTGTTCAACAGTCAGGCTTCCTAATGCTCACCACCGCATTAACTTGCAATCGGTAGCTGTGGAGTCTTAAAAACGCGGCCGCTGGGCCGGGCTAGGCTGATGAAGCTGAATATTGTGTGGTAGTCCATAGAAAACACACTTGGCCAGCGGTGCCACTAGTAAGGATTATTTCCTTTCACCTTCTGTTTTCCGAGCAGAGAACAAGCCCAAAAACAGTGTCAAGGCAGGGGAAAAGTTTGATTGTCAGCAATTTTTTGTGACAACATAATTAATTCTGCATCAAGTTTGACTTTCTGTGACAAGATGTTGGTTGTTTTATTTACCGAAGTAGCATTCGCATACGCCTTTAACTTCCCACAAAATTGCTACAGAAGATGCTTAGGGTAAGAAAACACATTGTTTTGCAGGTTCCATTTCAGAAGATATGGTAGGATATCGGAATCCCCAAGGAGTCGTTCTGGCCAAAGTTTGTAAAAGTTTGCTGAGTCGATACACAGTGGTGGCTAATTCGATACACGCTGATGCTTTGGAATACAAGCTGATGCCTTTGTTTCACAACAAGATGCAAATTGATTTTCCACTAAAAACAACAGAGGGAGAGAGAGAGGAGAGAGGGTGCTCTGGTGCACAACACTTCCACTCAAGTAATCCTGCGCTTTGTTATGGTAGAATGCAACAGATGGGTGCCACCGGTTTATTGCCAGAGGCTCACATTTGGAGATATTTGGGATGTCAAGCACATGCATACAATGACAAACTGAGGATGGTTATCCCTCCATTAAAGAGAATTCTCCACATTTTAAGATATTGAAGCAAGCGCGAGAGGTGAATTGAGCTCTCTGATAACTATTGGTATACTTTGTAGTGGAAAACGCTACTCTAGACAACACAATCTATCTTATCAGTCAATATGCTTGTCAATACGTCATCGTTTGAGTTCGTTATCTTCCCTTGCACAACTTCGAGTGGGAGCCAATTAACGGCCGTTATATCTGGAAGCCAGCTCACGAACGCCAGATATGAACAACTCGACAGTTCACTCTTTTCTTGGCTTTGATAACCCCATGACCAGCGGAATGGCAGAATTTGAATGGCGTTATCATGGCATCATGGATTCCCGGGTGACTTCGAAATAGTCTCCCGAATTAGCCTGCATATCTTCGCGGGCGTGCAGCTTAGAAACTAAAGTGGTTTAGGTCTTAAGAATGGCAGGGCTCTGAACTGCACCGAATGATCTTCAAGATGGCTATTTGAGTTTCAGCCCCCATACAAATGTAGAACACTCCGTTTAAGTATGACATGTTGCGAAGTTTTTTCTCGAGTAACAATGTGATTGGTCATTCTTAAGTCTCATGCTGGAAGGCTTACTGGGTGCAGCGAACTTCATGTGCATTGGAATATAATCAGTTGTGAGCAGAAAATAACCCAGCTTGCATTCACACAAATCGAATTGACAAGTGGTCGTGGTCGTTTTCTGCACGGACACGTAGGGGTTACGTGTTCGAGGATCTTCAGCACACACGACCCACAATGCGGGGCAGCGACGATAACAGCGGTCCACGATTCGGCTCAGCGACGATAACAGTGGCCCCCTATTTGGGGCCACCTCACAACCGTTTCTTGTGTAACGTGTGCCTCAGAAACCTTTGGGGGGGGGGAATAACGCGTTAAACATAATCTCTTAATCGGAAATCCAGCCCGTGAACGCCTCCAATGTGACTAAAAAGCTGCTGATGGCCGCGATCGGCTACAAACGAGCTGCACCCTCGGACCGGCTCCCATCAGGCCAGTAGTCTCACCCATCGGACCTGTGCTGTGCTACGCGCTAAACCCAACCATTTCCACGCGCAAATGGCGGAAATTTGTAGGTGCGGAACACTTGCAACACCCATCACAAGCTACTTCCAGTTATAGTGTTGGGCAGTGGGAGCGGGTATACACGCCCAGCAGCCTCGGCTCACAATCCCACCCATCTCGTCACAGCGTCAAACCCGTGTTGGGCGGACGCACCGACAGATCTAAGATGCATTGACTATGCCATAAGATATGCCAGTGATGGGGCATGGGTCAGCGGACTGTGACATGCTAAGGGCTTGAAACGCCGAAGGACGTAGGCAGAAGAAAGGAGTGCGGCTCGGAACCTCGAACGCAATATTCTCGAGCACGCAACCTCTCCTTGCCTGCGCAGAATAAAAGCTGTCGCCGCCCGTCAATTTTCGCTCCCGTCGGTTTGTAGTGTATGTTTGCGTCATCTTTCGCTAACAGCTGACTATATTTCAATGCATATAAAGGATGCGTTCAGTTGTAAGCCTGGGATATTTGTACAGGACGTATGCATACTCCACTACTGATAACCTCTTCAGGAACCGGATTTGTTTTTTGGCACTGTCAGCCTTTTCTTGTATCTCAAGAGCTCTGAATGAACTTGAGAACTTGAAAATGGGAAATGGCATGAAAGGCACTGGCATCAAAAATTCCATAGCTGTTGTCACTTAGGTTTGATTGCGAGCATCCGCCGTCCCTTACCGGTTACTTTAACGGAACACTATTTGTGCAGCGCCGGCTCAAATTGAAATACGAATAACTCAATTTTTATGTCGCTGCCACGCCCTTCATTTAAATCGTATGGCGTATGAGTTTTCTTTCGTCTGACGTAAAGTTATTTCAAATTTTTAACTGGGACCTTGCAACCCGTTTTGGCCCACTATACTATCGGAAAGCATGTTCATGCTGTAGACATTCTCTTCTCTTTTCATTCGATCTCAGTTATTATTCTGGCAGAGACTCAATCTCGCACTGATCAGTGAATCCCAATCTGTGACTGGTGTCTCCAAAACTGTGGTGGCTTTTCGCATCAGTGCTTTCACCACGTGAAGGCATCCCTCGTCAGGGGTACGACGGCTAGGTGGTTAAGCTGTGCATCTTAGAAACCGGCGGTACGGGGCTCGATTCCCTGCGAGGTCCTTCCCTCGCGACATGATGTGTCGCACAGCCGCGACGCCCGCTGACTTCGTCAATTCTGCGTAGCTGGCACCGGAGCATCTTGTGAACACGATAGCACAAACGGCGTGATCTGATTGACATCTGTAGAGCTTTTGCAGATTGCAGCTGGTGGCTCCAGCCAAGCTTCTCTGGCCAAGCCTTTGGGAGGTGTCTGGTCGCTTCAGTCTCTACTCAGCTCGTGTCGTTCCGTTCCAGTCCGGCCGCTGGATGTGGAGATTCTTGGCTCGTCCAGGGCGTCTATGCAGTCGGGCATGCTGTACGCGCTCGTGTGCCGCACGTACGGCTCCAGACCGCCGGCCAACATCTCCTGGTGGGTTCAAGACCGGCGCGTTCTGGGAGCCCAGCTCACGGTGGGTTGCATGCCACGCCTCCCGACGCTCGCTGGTCTCCGCTGCATGCCACGGCTGCCGACGCTCGCTGGTCTCCGCTGCATGCCACGCCTGCCGACGCTCGCTGGTCTCCGCTGCATGCCATGCCTGCCGACGCTCGCTGGTCTCCGCTGCATGCCACGCCTGCCGACGCTCGCTGGTCTCTACTGCATGCCACGCCTCCCGACGCTCGCTGGTCTCCGCTGCATGCCACGCCTCCCGACGCTCGCTGGTCTCCGCTGTGTTTCGAACACACCATCTCGGCACGTTGCGCTATAGGACTCCAGCGCGTGTTTTATCAGGTGTGGTATGGTGTGTGGTGTAACCAGGTGTGGTGGTATAGTGTGTGGTGTAACTAGGTGTGGTGGTATGGTTTGTGGTGTAACTAGGTGTGGTGGTATGGTTTGTGGTGTAGCAAGGCGTGCTTCCCGTTCACAGGATGTTGCTGATAAATTCTAAGCCCCAGTGTTCAATGATGGGAAAACATAGCAGCTACATAAGCGTTCGATTTTTGGATCCCATACAAAATCCGAGCAAATATTCGCATTTCCTTTCTGCTTCCGGCCCGATTAGCAAATTTTATATTAACTGTTGCATGTGTTGCAATTTTAGCATCAATTTATCACAGGTAGCTTCAAGCAGTTTAAGTAATGCTAACGACACCAGTTACGGACGTAAAATATGCAGGCTATTTCGTTTTGATCCAGTTCTGTAAGATGTCACAAAACGGCCAGCGAAGGCCGGCATTTCCTTTTCCATGAAGGTTTATCGTCAACTACATAGTGACGCATAAAAAATTGTCTTGAAAAATGGCTTTAGTCCCATCATCTCTTTCACCATTTGTATTTCCGCAGCCGCTTATCGTTATTTTGCCTGACTGCTGCAATGCTGCGTTTAACAGTCATAATATTGAATGTGGACCAAGGTGCAGCCCGGCACAACGGCAGTACCGCGGCATACCAGCCTTTTACCCTGCATTGTTTCGCTCCCCGAGTGTGTCGGCCTGGCTGGTGCACATAGCCCATATTTATCAGCTGGGATGGAGGCTGGCTGGCTCCATCATCAGTCTTGTGACGCGATAAGACTGGCGTCAGCTGAACCGCATTGGTCTGTCGAGCTCAAGTAGGCGAAATGAACAGAAACGGGAACCATTCCATTCCGTGGCCCAGCTATCCACATGCGATAAGCACCATTAATTTTTCTTATCGCTCGCCAGCGCGAGATGTGGCCATCCACTTCTGCATTTGAGCTTAAAATGCTGGTTACAATATTTTACAATGCTTTCCTCCATCACTTGGGAACTTGTCAATGAACTGTAATATAGTACGTAGACGGGGCGCTTTTCCGCAGTCTACTCTTTGACTGACTCCGAATATTGATCAAAGCATTTTGAAACGCTGCCCTTAGGCTCCGCGTGCAGGCAAGGAAGCTTATAACGCACATTTCGGCCCCACCTGAAAAATACTTCATCAATTCTCGTGTCTCAGACACCTATCCCCGCTTCATGGCCAAAACAGGCCGCGGACGGTCAGCGGGGTGTGTAATTTTGCGGCGGGGTTATTCACCGCCAGATTAAACCGCTCCAGACAGCTGCAAACCTCCCTCGGCTCGCCTGCGGATGTAGAAATATGCATGCTATTTCGTATTGATCCATTTATGTAAGATGTTACAAAACAGCCAGCAAAAGCCCGCATTTCGGTGTTATCTTGTCATTGAAAGTCATGTCAAACGGTCGTTGCGACGTGTCAGGCTGTATCCTTTATAAACCCAATGGCCTCCCAACGCATATAGGATGCAGTGGCCGTCAGCCCGGTCAATACAGTTTGACCTTGCACCCAGAAAAACGGGTTGATGAGGTTTTTCCGTGTAGGAAAAAAGGAACGCCTAAGTGCCCTCTTTCGCTGTTATTCCTGAAGCTGAAGAGGTCGTGTCGAGTGTTCCTTGGGCTCGAGCCGTAACATTCTGTTGATTTTGCATAAGTGAAATCATTCAGGCGATGTTGGTGCGACAATGCATCAAGTGCATGGGAGCTTCCGTAGCGACATATTAGTGAGCGCGTTATTGGGAGCGTGTCTTGTTATGTATGGATAGCCCTTATTCTACATAGATGCTACCAAAGAGCCCGAATCTGCAGCTCCTTATCGCTGCATCACAGCTGTTCTGTGCGATCCGTGTCTGCCGGTGCCCACTCAACGAGAGGTTATTAGTTGACGGTGGTCGCTTACGGTGCCGGTGACACTTCTTGCGCTCACGTTTTGCTCATTCGCGCCATATTGCGTTATTTTCCGACGGGCAATTCATCACTATCAGGCGATTGCCGTCGACTCATCAAACAAGCTATAATCTCGGAATCGAGCAGCCCTGGCGCGATGATTACCAGCTGTGGGCCTCGGCAGGAGTCCGGACTGGGCAACATCACCAGCAGCACGCTGCCCTTCAAGCCGCGCCCCACCGACAACGGCAGAGAGATCACGTGCAGGGCGGAGAACAGCCTGGTCTCGGGTGGCACGATCGAGGATAAGAGGCTGCTCAACGTCAGGTGTAAGTAGAGAACGACCGCCGGCTTGCGTGGTCTGACGTCCTGTGCTTACAAGGTAGACGACAACGGCAGAGAGATCACGTGCAGGGCAGAGAACAGCCTGGTCTCGGGCGGCACGATCGAGGATAAGAGGCTGCTCAACGTCAGGTGTAAGTGCCTTATGAATCTATTAACACAGAAACCTCGGCCCATGACAGACAGAAGGTGAAATTCAGTCTAATACATTTGCTCATGTAAAGAGTTGCTGAATACCTCCTTCCTAGCATGACGTATGTCGGCTTATATCGGTATCACTCTCTCGGAGCGTTTGAGTTCCCTAATCAGAGTTCCCGTGGCAGGATCGAGCATGTGTTTACGCTCTCCAGATTAGCTGTACAGGCAGCCTTGCACGTCTCGAAGTGACGATCAACCAGAGCAGTTTCCAGATCTGAACACGCCGACAAATACAGATTAGCTGGCCCGTTCGACAGCGAGCCACCAGCCGCGCACAATGCTCCTTTGTATTGCACTCCCTCGCTGATATGGAACCGTATATATCCATCGTGTTTTTGATGCAGGACGCGTCTGGCTATTGTGGGACTGGCCCGCCCCTACTGGACGCATTAAAATGATTGCAGCAGTGCCAACGCTCGGCGAGTCGCTTGCAGATACCAATAGCACATCCTTCAGCGAAACGAATGTGGGTCAATGTATTAGCTCGCCTTGTGAATGCTGTTGAAACTCCTCTGCCTCAACTGATGTCGGACGTCGTGCCCGATCTAGAAGTTCGGGTGACATACAGCCATGCCGGACCCCGGGTTGTCACGACGCGCTCGCTTCGTAGAGTGGTCTACCACATTTCTCATACTGGATTGTTATGGTATAACACTGTCAACGCGGCTCCTTTCCACCAACAGGCGCATGTTTCTGTTTAAACTGGATGCGGGAGATGATTTCCCATAACCCGCAGTATTGTCGCAAGTGGGTCCTGTCGGGCTTGTTATGTGTATTCATAGTGCAGAACTGATTGGCCAGCTTCATGATCAATTGTTTGGAACAAGATGGTCCGCATGCCCTTTTCTCTGGGGTATCTGCCATATCCTATTGCCAAATTTTCCTGAGGCATTTGCAACATCCTAATGTCAGATTTTCCTGAGGCATCTGCCATATCCTATTGCCAAATTTTCCGGGGGCATCTGCCATATCCTATTGTCAAATTTTCTTCGATTTTGGCACATATAGATTAACCAGAAACCTTTAACGCTTCCAAACCAATTGATTTCAGACCAAAGGCGTACAAACTCGTGACAGCCGCTTGTAGCTCACCCGCGGGCCCGCGGGTGAGCCGGCCGCCCTGTGAGCCGGGCCCGCGGGTGAGCCGGCCGCCCTGTGAGCCGGGCCCGCGGGTGAGCTGGCCGCCCTGTGAGCCGGGCCCGTGGGTGAGCCGGCCGCCCTGTGAGCCGGGCCCGTGGGTGAGCTGGCCTCCCTGTGAGCCGGGCCCGTGGGTGAGCTGGCCGCCCTGTGAGCCGGGCCCGCGGGTGAACTGGCCGCCCTGTGAGCCGGGCCCGTGGGTGAGCTGGCCGCCCTGTGAGCCGGGCCCGTGGGTGAACTGGCCGCCCTGTGAGCCGGGCCCGTGGGTGAACTGGCCGCCCTGTGAGCCGGGCCCGCGGGTGAGCTGGCCTCCCTGTGAGGAGCGCCGTGCGTCGGTGTGCGGCTGAGGGTGACGCCCGGTCCTGTTCCAGTCCCGCCCATCATCAGTTTGCGGCTCGGTAATGCACTGGACGCCGAGAACATCCGGGAGGGTGCCGACGTCTACTTCGAGTGCAACGTCCGGGCCAACCCGGCCGTCTACAGCACCGTCTGGTCACATAACGTGAGAATAGCCGGCACGGCCCAATCGTCTACAGCATTGTCTGGTCACATAACGTGAGAATGGTCGGCACGGCCCAATCGTCTACAGCGTTGTCTGGTCCCAGCATGCGAGCAGGTATTCACAGAGATGTGTGCAAGCATTTGGAAGCAAAAAATCGCATCTGAAAGCGCGTCAAAACAGCCCACAGCTCGGTTGTGGATCTGACAATGTTGCAATCGCATCAGCTGGGGTTCAGTGGAATATAGCACGTCCATCCTATTCGATGTTTTGAATGGTTTAGGGTGCGCTGCGATATCTTAATATGATTCCTCTGCATGGAGACCGGGGAGCTCGAGTCTTACGCAAAGGTAAACCATGTCTTAAAAGGTATGGGTATGGGATACAATTTGGTACCACTGCCTCGCAAATGACTGCCTGGTCCTTCGCGATAGTCCTGTCCCGCAGCACTCGTGGTCATGACCCGTCCCCTGTGCCCCGGGTACGTCGCTGGCAGCGGTCGCCCACCGCCCCGTGTCTCCAGCCCGCTCCTGTGCCGCGGCTTACTCAGACGGCCGCGGGGTGCGCCCGTCTGTCACCGCTGAGGCGGACGCGAATCGGCCGCGAGCGGTCGTGCTTCACCCGGGGCTTGGGCGCGTCGGACGGCGGCGCGCTGAGCGCAGCGCTCCGGCGCGGCTGACTCGGCGCAGCCGCCGCGCCGGAGATGACGCACTGCGCGCCGGTTCAGGCGCACGCCCGCCAGATTTATCGCCCGCTCAAGATAAAGCCCTCGGGGCTGGCGGCTTACGAGGCCTCCTTTGAGGCGGGTATCGGCCGAATCAGGAGATCACGCCTCCCATGAAGAGAGCCAGGCCGTCGGCTTTAAAGACTATCAAATCCCCGAGCGGGAGAATAGAGAAGGATCTGTTTCGGGATGATAAAGCGCGGTGTCGTTCACGATTCATTGGTCAGAATTTTACATTGCGCTTGCCGACAACCACTGTCACTGCACAGGGGCTATATGCGTTCTCGTACATATCCTTGGTGAAAAACCGACGTTGCTATGCTGATGGAAAACCATGTGACGTCGACCAGCCATTCAGCATTTTGAAGATTGTCGGAGGGTAGATTGATGTGTGACGAATAAATGTACTTACTCACGATACGATGGCTGAGTCAAGTAAAGAACTGGCGTCATTCCCACCGTCAGCGACCTATTTCCGCTCTTTGCGCCCTGAACGAAGGCCAAAGCCACTGACATGAGACGCTTTCGTCTGTGTCGGCAGGAGAGGCCGGTGCGGCCGAGCCCGCGCGCCGGCGTCAGCGACATGGTCAGCATCAACGAGCGCAGCCTGGTGATCCGCAACCTGAGCCGCCGCTCGGCCGGCGCGTACCGGTGCCGGGCGGCCAACCCGGAGGGCGAGGCTGTTAGCCGGCTCGTCCACCTCAGCGTCAAGTGTGAGTGGGCGGCGGTCAGGTGTGCTCTCACGTCTCGCGGCGCTTCGTGGCGTCACAGTCGGCTTTATTAGTGCGATGTGCGGACGGCAGTGGCGCTGAAGAGGGCTTTTCTGTCGTTTAAGGTTCCATAGGTATCGAGCGGCGAGGTTTGTAAGAGTTCTCGTAAGAGCAGGGCGTGGTCGCAGCGCTCTGGTCGTTATGGGACGTCAGATTTCAGGTAGTTCTCTCTGGACCGATCACTGTCGGGAGGAGCTCATCACGCTGCTCCGGTACAACCAGGCGTAGGGGACGCCGAGCAGGCCTAGGTGTTCTCCGGCCCGTTCTGTGCCGGCAGCCCGGACTGAATCCTTAATTCCCGTCTGGGCGCGCTGCCAGATTACCAACAAACGAGCCCGGCCGCGCCACTCCTCCGCATCAATCCGATGTCGTCAAACTCTGGGCCCGGATGGCGTGTTCGCCCGGCGCTGCCAAAAACCAGCCCCAGCGTCGAAAAACAACGTGTCCAATTAGGCTCTCTGCGGCGTGGGGTGGTGATGGGGACAGAGCAGAAGCTAGCCAAGTCGCAGAAAGCTGGGATGGTATGGGGGTAAGTGAGGAGTTGGTGCTTCCTGACCGCTGGCAGTGCACTTCTGCTGTCCTGTTCTATTGTCCTCGTCGGACGATCGTTGAGAAGGCCCTGGCAAAGTGACGGACAAGCTGGACAGTTCACCATAGCTCATGGAACCTCACCTACTGACGTTAGAAGTCATGTTTGCATCCATATACACCATCACTTCTTTATACCGCAAATAGCCTTTGTTCCACGCTCACCCAAAATTGGCAGACTATTTTATGTTTTCATGTGCGTCCAATAGAGGTAATCAATCGCATTCGGAATATTGGAGTATCCAACTGAGGCGTGTGGTTTGGGTTCGCAGGCCACTAGAATGTCGATGTTAATACTCGAACGTTCGTGAGGGTCCAAACATTGCTGGTGTAATCACGCAGATCTTTCAAAAACCCACACATCCCTCCAGGAAGAGGGATTGCTGTTAATGTCCTGCGTTGTTCCGAACCAATTCTCGAACCTCGTAACAGTGCACCGTAACACAGTTTTGGACAGCTCATTTTGCAAAGTTTTACACATGGCTTTTAAGTTTAAGATATCTAACACAACTGGCAAGTGACCCATGACCTCATACTTGAGCATGTGCATGGGAAAATGGGGAAAATCTAATTCTGCGACGAGTTCTTGGTTCCGCGTGCGCAGGACCATGGCCTAGTGCTCCCAAATGAAGTCAGGTATTTCTATAATAACCTTCATCAATGCTGACATATTTCCAAAAGCCATTTGGGGTGAAAGCCACATTGAGCAAATTCTTGAAAACCAAAGACCAGATTGCTGCTTTATCATGAACTAGTGTAGTTACGCTGTGACGATTGTTTTGTACGAGTAGATTCCGATCAAAGTCAGGTCAAGTTAAGCTTTAAAGCACATGTTAAATTTGCAGCATTGATATAATGATGTATCATACATGTATAAATGGCACAAGTAAGCATTACAGCATGAAAGTTTTATAGAACGGCATTTTCACAGTGTACCAACTCTGCCATCGCATATAACGAACTTGAGTGTGGAGTCATAGATGACTACAGTTTTAAGAAGTCATGGACTCACCGCGGTCAGATTCCCTTTGGGAAGAAGTGGTGCTGTTATAAGCTCTTTGGGCGACCGCAGTCTGCAACATCACATAGAGAAGCCGAACCCTTGGTTTGACCTCGGTTGACCCGTGCTGATCGGACCGCCGCAGGGGATATTGCGAAGCGATCCGGCAAAAGCTGGTGATCACGGACTGCTCTGAGGCCGAACTTTTGCTCCGGAACTTCGGGTGCTGAATCGGCAAGGGGCTGTACTTTCGCTCCCCCCCCCCCCCTCGTTTCCCTTGCTGGGGATGACAGCTACACCTGCAAGTTGGTAAAAGTTAGCATCAGTGTTAAACATAATCAGCAGTTAACTTAATGAACTTTAAACAATTTAAAAGTTGACTTTTTAAAAGACCCACACGGCGAAAAGGTTTTCCGAAGATATCGTTATAGCACAATTTAGAAATTAGAGGTAATAGAAGCAATTTCTCTCCTGTGGTTTAGCACTTCGAGCACAGCTTAAATACTACTTCTCAGCGTACGGTGTAAGTCGAGAGAGGTGATGGCATGCGGGAGTAATCAATCTACGGTCATTTGGTGATACCAAAACTTGATGCGACCAGGGACCTTAAGAAACCTTCACAAATGTGTCTGATCGCTGCCTTAAGTGGGCTGCCTGTCACGCTGTAGCGATCGCGGTTTCAAAGATGTGGCGTGATGGCGCTAATTCATAAATAACGCTATTGGAAATCGACTGACCCGAAGTCTTCCCTTGCGTCGTATGTGGGAACGTACTCGTGCCGCGCCGCCGCCGTTCTTATGTTTTGCTTGGCGTTCACTGTCCAGGCCGCGCGGATGCTGCCGTGGTTCCTGCCCATTATGATTGCCCCCTCTGCCATGGTTACTGACCGGCGTGCTCTGGCCGCAGACGCGCCCGTGTGTGTGTCGGGCCAGAAGAGCCGGTACGGCACGGCCCGGAACGAGGCGGCGCGCGTCATATGTCAGGTGGAGGCCAGTCCGGCGGACGTCATCTTTAGGTGGCAGTTCAACAGCTCGGCAGAGACGCTCGACCTGCCATTCTCACAGGTCAGTCCGGCAGACGTCACCTTTAGGTGGCAGTTCAACAGCTCGACAGAGACGCTCGACCTGCCATTCTCACAGGTCAGTCCGGCAGACGTCACCTTTAGGTGGCAGTTCAACAGCTCAGCAGAGACGCTCGACCTGCCATTCTCACAGGTCAGTCCGGCAGGCGTCACCTACAGGTGGCAGTTCAACAGCTCGGCAGAGACGCTTGACATGCCATTCTCACAGGTCAGTCCGGCAGGCGTCACCTACAGGTGGCAGTTCAACAGCTCGGCAGAGACGCTCGACCTGCCATTCTCACAGGTCAGTCCGGCAGGCGTCACCTACAGGTGGCAGTTCAACAGCTCGGCAGAGACGCTTGACAAGCCATTCTCACAGGTCAGTTCGGCAGACGTCACCTACAGGTGGTAGTTTAACAGCTCGGCAGAGACGCTTGACCTGCCATTCTCACAGGTCAGTTCGGTCGAAGCCCGGCGACTCGGACTGAAAGGAGATGTGATTGCGGCTTTGGAGGACTGTCAATACGTCTCGTCTTTGATTTTGCCTAGTTTGGAGAACGTGATGCCATGCTAATGCCGCTGCTGCTCACGGAGGAGGGCTTAAGTGCAAGGTTGAAATAAGACGCCTGTGCACCACAGTCTTTTGGCTGGTTGGAGGAGGGGAGAAGGGGTGGCGAAGAGAGGAATCGTGTGAGGTGGGAAGGCTGGCACATGTCACCTCTTTGTGTTATCCATCTCCCCACTTGCAAGCGGTGTGTCGCCTTGAGAGAGTCATGTCGACTTGATGTTGGCAAGAGCGCCTAGCCAACCTCACTGTCTGCAATCACCAACCGCAAACGACTTGTGATCAGTGGATTGCTGAGCGCCAGAGATGACGAACACTTCTTCACGATTCCACGTACCCTTAAACGTTTGTGGAAGACTCCTGCAAGAACCGAGTCCATCCGAATGCACCATGGGAAAGCACCGATTCTTACTGCATTAATGATTTTCACCTTGTTGTTTCTCGTACGACCTTCGCCGTGACTTTCCAGCGCAGAAACACGACAACGTTTCAATATTAACGGCTGCACCCAGCCGTTTCGTGAACACGGTGATCTATCTTCAGATTGTCTCACGGGGCCTGGAAAGCCGCTCCTCCTACACGCCCAAGACGGAGCTGGACTACGGTACGCTGCTCTGTACGGCGGAGAACGACATCGGTCCCATGGTCAAGCCCTGCGTCTTCAACATTGTTCCTGCTGGTGAGAGGAAGAGCGATGGTGCGCCGCTGATGTTTGTGAACGATGTGCTTAATTCACAATTTGATTTACCATTGAGAGCGATCGGCTTAGATCTGTCCTTGCGCATTTGGGCTTTAACTTATAGCCGGTGTCAAATAGATTTGAGATGCAAAATATTCGCCCTATCCGACTCTGGCATCATCTCCGGCAGGTCCTCCGGAGCCGTTGCGGAACTGCACCGTCATCAACCAGACGTCCGACTCGCTGGAGGTGAAGTGTGCGGCCGGCTTCGACGGCGGTCTGCCGCAGTACTTCGTGGCCGAGCTGTTTGACGTGGTTGGCCGGCGGCTGGTGCGCAACCTCACCCGGCCCTTCCCCCACTTCGCGGTGCTGGAGCTGCCGCCGGGGCTGGAGCTGCGGCTCGAGCTGTACGCGGCCAACAGCCGCGGACGCAGCCGAGCCATCACGCTGGACGGCTTCACGCTTAAGGCGGCCGAGAAGCGCATCAGCAGCAGCAGCGGCGGCGGCGGCGGCGGCACGGACCAGCCTGCAGGTCAGCGAATCGCAAAGAAGGAGAAAGGGCGACCTGCCACGGCTGCACGTAGCTCTAAAACAGCCTGGTGTATTCTGTCGAGCACTGCCGTATGGCGCCGTGTGCAGCGGTTCGTAGACTCAGGATCAATAGTCTATGTGTCTGGAACGTTTACGAAGTGGAAAAAATCACTCCATAATGGTCGGATGACATTAATAATCACAGCCCGCAAAATGTTGCGTTACCCCTACCCCATCCCCTCCCCCCCCCCCCCCACCCCGCCACCGATCATTGTGGGTTAGATGTGAAAAATATCCCGGTGCCGAATGCGAGACACGGCAGGATAGGCAGTCCCTCCCCACTGTTGACAGAACCGGCGGAGGAGCAGCGGTTCACTGTGACGCCGATCCTGGGCGTCCTGATCGGCATCGTGGCCTCCCTCATCATTGTCGCCATCGGCGTGGTGGCGTGCATCAAAGGCAGCAGGTCAGGGGCCCAGCTGATGGCGTAGAGTCGAGACCACCCTGCCGAGGCTTCACAGAGTCGAGACCGTCCTGTTGAGGATTCACAGAGTTGAGACCGTCCTGTTGAGGATTCACAGAGTTGAGACTGTCCTGTTGAGGATTCACAGAGTCGAGACCGTCCTGTCGAGGATCACAGAGTTGAGACCGTCCTGTCGAGGATCACAGAGTTGAGACCGTCCTGTCGAGGATCACGGAGTCGAGACCGTCCTGTTGAGGATGCACAGAGTTGAGACCGTCCTGTTGAGAGTTCACAGAGTCGAGGCCACCCTGTCGAGAGTTCACGGAGTCGAGGCCACCCTGTCGAGTGTTTACAGAGTCGAGACCGTCTTGTCGAGGGTTCACAGGCTCGCATGAAATCTGGCGGAAAAACCACGTGGATGTCTAATGCACAATATTGCACCGGATCTCCTGAATTGTTCACAATAAATAATTTGCTCCATTATCTGGAATAACTGTATTTCAGGACTTAAGCTATCATGTAGCACATGACTTTCATTTGAAAGTGGTAATTGTGTTTAAACGTTTAAAAGACGCACGTCACCTGCATGATTTGTTTCGAATCCTTGAAAAGCTTGCAGCGATGCACTGTGGTATGCCTTTGAGATTGATGAGAAGACTGCGAAGACCCTGCGGATATTGTTTCCACGTTATTTAGAAAAGTAGTGCGCACAAGTTCCTTCAAAAACGTGTTTTTGAAATGTTACGGGATTCAATAGCTGATCACAAACAAAAGCAGCATGTCTTTTTACCACATATAAAGCGCTATTGTCAACGATATAAGATGTCACTAAGCAGTAGTACCATCTTACAGCTTAATACGATGCTATAATCCGATTTCAGTCGAAGCCGAAGAAAACCGGCTGTCCAGACGCATCTTTTAAACTCATCCGTGAAAGTCAAGCAGAGATCGGCGGCTGTTGACACAGAGGTCGGAGCTAAACTCTACGACACGGACCGGAATCCGGACGTCGTACCGAACATGTCCGGTAAGAACATGCCCCCCCGCCGTTATACAGAGTCGTCCGTTAACAGTTAAGCAACAGGGGCGAGTGTATTTGTGGCGCAGCCACGCCTGCGGTTCGACGGCAGCTCAACTGCCGACTCGACTGCCAGTTCAACGGCAAAACACGATCAGTGGCAGAGAAAGTCATCAGAAGTGCCGCAGTCGCCAAATAGTAACTACAGAAGATGTTCAAATTGGGCCTCCTGGCGGTTCGGGATGCGCCACAGCCGAACTTGCTGCAGGTGTTTGAATGTCCGGTCATCATGCCGAAGGTGACGCATCCCATCACAGGCCTCACGACGGCCTTCAACTTTTGGAGGTTTGCTGTCTTGTTCACGTGGGCGTGGTCCTTGACATAACCGAACAGCACGGCAGTTTAAGAGCCACAGGCCGGGCGAATGGAACGCCCGCAGTCTGCAGGGATCTGGGACGTACGTTGCAGGCGCGTCCGCTGCCTTGTACCCATCGTAATATTAAAAAGAGATGAAAGCAGGCATTCTGCCAAGTGATGACCTTTGATCTCCGCCGGCAGCGTCCAGTTACGAGCCAGTGCCGACGCCACATCTGCTGAATCACCTGAACGTGAATTCAACGAGGAGACATTCTCTTACGTCAGGCCTCCTTCCCGGCAGCCCCCACAAGGGCAATGTCATCCAGGTCAGGGGCAGCATCGCAGGGCCGGCTGCTGCAGGCGTGCGCAATGTCCCCCGATGCAGAGCCGTTAACTCCACCAGTCGGTTACGTTCAGCCGTCTGCTTTTAGACACAGCCTGCACACTGTGGTAGGCTGGATCCCCATTTCCAGCGCGTGGTGTGTTAAATAGCGCATAGTCCGCTGAGATGTCAACGGCAGCGGCTGCTAGCCGGTGCCTGTAGTGACCGGGGAGACTCCATCTTCGCTGTAAGATAACGCACTAATCCGTCGTTTGAGCTCGGCGCTCGACCGCTCACGAACAAATAAAATAGTTGGTGATGTCTGTCGACGCAGTTGGTGATGGTCTGAGCGCACATAAGTCACTCTCTGCACTTACACAGACCGAAATATAGACTTCGTCACCAGTCATCTCACATTTGCCGCGTTTTCCTTCTTTTTTAGTTCTTCTTTTGTTCTGCTTTGGCTTTTACGTCTAACGTCGTTGTGTCCGGTACCTTGCTTGACCTTGACTTGGTACCGCCGGCAGGAAAGCATCAACGATGGGGACCTGACCCTGACGAGGCCGGGCCGGGACGGCAGGGGTGCAGTCCTCACGTTCGGCACCTTCAACCCGCGACGGCACACCATGGTGCGGACGCTCCCTAGAAAAGACCGAGAGAGTGTGGTGTAGGATGGAGTGCGGTGCAGGGCAGTCGGCCTTACCATTGATGACCGAGAGAGTATGGTGTAGGACGGAGTGCGGTGCAGGGCAGTCGGCCTTACCCCTGATGACCGAGAGAGTGCAGATAAGGCACTGAGCCTGGCCTGTGGTGACCGGGAGTTCGGTGAGGCATGACCATCCTCGTCGGTGGTGACCGGGAGTTCGGTGAGAGGTGGCCATCCTCGCTAGTGATGACCGGAAGTTCGGTGAGGGGTGGCCATCGTCGCCAGTGGTGACCAGGATTTCGGTGAGGGGTGGCCATCGTCGCCAGTGGTGACCGGGAGTTCGGTGAAAGGAAGCCATCCTCGCCAGTGGTGACCGCGATTTCGGTGAGGGGTAGCCATCCCCCCTAGCGATGACCGGGAGTTCGGTGAGGGGTGGGCATCCTTGCCAGCGATGACCGGGAGAGGGCGTCATGTCACGACTGGCATTGACCCTCACTGTGATAGCGGTCCCCGACGGCAGAGCTAAGGGCGCCCAGCGCCTCTGCCGCCGGCTGAGACTTCCCGAGGTTACGTGCCGGCCAGTGTTGTGCGCTGTGAGCGTGCATCAGCTGCTCGCCCGTGCAGAGCCAGCCCCCAGCGGGGGCGAAAGCTCACCGACAGATGGTGGGGCGGGTGGTGAAGCTCACTGTGGCACGGCCGCGAGTGGCCGCGATGTAAGAGCCGTGCGCCGTCACTGTCGCTGTGTTGCGTCCGGGGTCTCAATGTTCGCGGCAGTAGCGGTCCAGACACGTCTTGGCTTCCGCTGAATGGGCAGAGGTATGGTGCTGGGGGCTGCGGCTGGTGCGTTGTCACACACAGTGTGTCATCTGCTGCAGGTGCGTTGTCACACACAGCGCGTCATCCGCTGCCCGTGTGTTGTCAGATACAGTGCGTCATCTGCTGCTGGTGTATTGTCACACAGTGTGTCATCCGCTGCTCGTGTTTTGTCAGATACAGTGTGTCATCTACTGCTCGTATGCCGTCAGATACAGTCTCATCTGCTGCTGGTGTATTGTCACACACAGTGTGTCATCTGCTGCTGGTGTGTTGCCAGATATAGTGCCATCTGCTATTCGTGTGTTGTCACACACAGTGTGTCATCTGCTGCTCGTGTGTTGTCAGATACAGTGTGTGGTCTGTGACTGGTGAGTTTTCAGCCAGTTGCGGCCGGTGTGTTGTCAGGTACAGTGCATCATCTGCGACAGCTGTGTTGTCAGTCATCTGCAGCTTGTGTGTTGTCAGCCACAATGTCATCTGAGGTTGGTGTGTGGTCAGACACAGTGTCATCTGCTGTCGCGCTATGTTTGATAGAAGCGACTGTGCTGTCATTTATGAGTGTTTTATCGGACCTTTTCCGTGCCGACAGCTGGATAGGATGACCAATTTACAAATGGGGTTCAGTTGTTGCGTTGGTCGGCCATAATGCAATCAGTTCCACAATACGACGCGAAAGAGTAAAGAGGGCCAAAATACGGCATTGCATCATGCATCTCAAATGCTGCACCAGGTGTTTTTGCCAACTGATTGGATCATTTTTCATCCCTCGAAGCAGGTACAAGCCTGGGCCGCTTTCGACCTGGCAAATTTTACCACAGCATGTTTTTTCACAGCGCTTATTATTGGGCACACTAGCGTAACGTGTCACCGTGCGTTGAGGGTCACATGCAGCGCGTGACTGAACTCGCCAGTCGGTGCGTCTAGTCTGTTTTGGAAAACTTATTGTTGTCAGTGGCATGCCGACCTGAATTCGTATTACCAGCGACTGCACAATCCGACCTCAACGGGACTCCAACGGATTTAGGCTGCGATTGGTCATGCCCCGACTAGAGGACTGGACACATAACAGGCCAGCCGAGTTTTGCAGCCAGCACTCTCCGAAATTGCATCGCGCGAATCACGAAGGGCTTAAAATCGGGAATCGTTGGAATGTCATCAGATACATGCTGCGGAAGTGGATTTCATGATGGAATGCGGGTGTCTCCTAAATTTGTATACACTAAAGCTGAGTGATAGTAAAAAGGAAAAGCCCTTTCCATTATGCAGCCCGTGTGCTGAGACAATTTCCCAACAGCTTTCAGTTTGCAACCTGGCTCACAACATTCATAATTTGTTGTTTTCCAACCGGAGTGTATTGAGTAGATTTTGTCTTCGCTGGACGTAATGTTAGAGCTTTTCAATCGCAGGCATTCGAGTTTCATACAGTCACGTTACTGACGTGACTAAACCATGTCACATGCATCAGCTCATCACTCACCACCTTCACCCGCGATTTCCTGGGTGATTCGAGAAGCAGGCGGCTTTCTAATGTTTTTGTACCTTGAAATAATGACTGAAATTCCCTGCAAAAAACAATACAAGTAAAAGCAGCTGATTAGCTAGATATGAATGCACCGTGAGACGATAGCCTCCTTGTGGCTGGCATAGAGCACGTGCAATTTCTGGCAATACTCACCACCTTTTTTCGATGTTTCCTTTTGCTTCGTTGAATGATGGTAAAGGAGCACTAAGGCAAGCTGCGAAAATTACAGAAACCCTGTGTAGATTGCGAAACCACGAGCGATTCGTGGACTACACTGGTGTACTCCGCTATGACTGGACCAAAACCCCTGATAATTTTTATCGCCTAAAGCTTAACCTTCAGTCCGA